GTAACGCACATACTCTTAGTACCAACCATACGGGTACGTAACGCACGTACTCTTAGTACCAACCAAATGGGTTCGTAAAGCACCTACTTTTAGTACCAATGATACAGGTAAATAACGCTCTATTTCTTAGTACCAACCTTACCGGCAAGTAATGCACTTTCCTTTGATACCAACCATATGGGTAAGTAACGCACTTACTCTTACTACCAACGAGACAGGTAAGTAAAGCACTTACTCTTAGTACCAACCATACAGGTACGTAACGCACTAATTGTTAGTACCAACCATACGGGTAAGTAACCCACTTACTCTAAGTACCAACCATACGGGTACGCAACGCACTTACTCTTAGTACCAACCAAATGGGTTCGTAAAGCACCTACTTTTAGTACCAATGATACAGGTAAATAACGCTCTAACTCTTAGTACCAACCTTACCGGCAAGTAACGCACTTTCCTTTGATACCAACCATATGGGTAAGTAACGCACTTACTCTTACTACCAACGAGACAGGTAAGTAAAGCACTTACTCTTAGTACCAGCCATACGGGTACCTAATGCACTTACTGTTAGTACCAACCATACGGGTAAGTAACGCACTTACTCTTAGTACCAACCATACAGGTACGTAACGCACTAATTGTTAGTACCAACCATACGGGTAAGTAACCCACTTACTCTTAGTACCAACCATACGGGTACGTAACGCACTTACTCTTAGTACCAACCAAATAAGTTCGAAAAGCACTTTTAGTACCAATGATACGGGTACATAACGCTCTAACTCTTAGTACCAACTATACGGGCAAGTAACGCAGTTTCCGTTAGTACCAACCATATGGGTAACTAACGCATATGCTCTTAGTACCAACCATACGGGTACGTAACGCACTTAGTCTTAGTACCAACCAATGGGTTCGTAAAGCACTTACTTTCAGTACCAATCATACGGGTAGATAACGCTCTAACTCTTAGTACCAACCATACAGGCAAGTAACGCACTTTCCTTTAGTACCAACCATACGCATAAGTAACGCACTTACTCTTACTAACAACCATACAGGTACGTAATGCACTTACAGTTAGTACCAACCATACAGGTAACTAACACACTTACTCTTAGTACCAACCATACAATTAAGTAACGCTCTTACTCTTAGTACCAACCATACGGGTACATAACGAACTTACTCTTAGTACTAACCCATACGGAAAGTAACGCACCTACTCTTAGTACCAACCATACGGGTAAGTAACGCACCTACTCTTACTACCAACCATACAGGTAAGCAACGTACTTAGTCTTAGTACCAGCCATACGGGTAAGTAACGCACTTACTCTTAGTACCAACCATACGGGTAAGTAACGCACATACTCTTAGTACCAACCATACGGGCAAGTAAAGCACTTACTCTTAGTACCAACCATACAGGTAAATAGCGCACTTACTCTTAGTACCAACCATACAGGCAAGTAGCGCACATACTCTTAGTACCAACCATATGGGTAAGTAATGCACTTAGTCGTAGTGCACTTTCTCATAGTACCAACTATACGGGTAAGTAGCGCACTTTCTTTTAGTACCAACCATACGGGAAAATAACACATATACTCTTACTACCAACCATACAGGTAAATAACGCACTTATTTTTAGTACCAACCTTCCGGGTAGGTAAGGCACTTACTCTAGTACCAACCATACATGTAAGCAGCGCACTTACTTTTAGTACCAACCATATAGACAAGTAACGCACTTACTCTTAGTACCAACCATACGGGTAAGAAACGCACTTATTCTTAGTACCAACCATACAGGAAAGTAGCGCACTTACTCTTAGTACCAACCATATATTCAAGTAACGCACTTAGTACCAACCATACGGGTAAGTAGCGCACTTACTCTTAGCACCAACCATACAGGTAAGTAACGCACTAACTCTTAGTACCAACCATACGGGTAAGTAGCGCACTTACTCTTAGTACCAACCATACGGGCAAGTAGCGCAGTTACTCTTAGTACCAACCATTCGGGTAAGTAACGCACTTACTCGTAGTACCAACCATACAGTAAGTAGCGCACTTTCTCTTAGTACCGACCATACGGGTACGTAACACACTTACTGTTATTACCAACCATACGGGTACGTAACGCACTTACTGTTATTACCAACCATACGGGTAAGTAAGCACTTACTCTTAGTACCAACCATACAGGTACGTAACGCACTTACTCTTAGTACCAACCATATTGGTAAGTAACGCACTTACACTTAGTACCAACCTTCTGGGTAAATGACGAACTTACCCTTGGTACCAATCATACAGGTAAGTAACGACATACTCTTAGTACCAACCATACGGGTAAGTAACGCTCTTACTTTTAGTATCAACACATACGGGCAAGTAACGCACTTACTCTTAGTACCAACCATACAGGTAAGTAACGCACTTATTCTCACTACCATACGGGTATATAACGCACTTACTTATAGTACCAACCATACGGGTAGGTAACGCACTTACTCTAGAACCAACCATACAGGTAAGTAGCACACTTACTCTTACTACCAACCATACGGGTAGGTAACGCACTTACTTTAGTACCAACCATACGGGTAGGTAACGCACTTACTTTAGTACCAACCATACGGGCAAGTAGAGCACTTACTCTTAGTACCAACCATACGGGTAAGTAACGCACTTAATCTTACTACCAACCATACGGGTGAATAACGCACTTACATTTATTACCAGCCATACGGGTAGGTAACGCACTTACTCTAGTACCAACCATACAGGTAAGTAGCGCACTTACTCTTAGTACCAACTATACGGGCAAGTAACGCACTTACTCTTAGTACCAACCATACGGGTAAGTAACGCACTTGCTCTTACTACCAATTATACGGGTAATTAACGCACTTATTTTTAGTAGCAACCATACAGGAAAGTAGCACACTTACTCTTAGTACCAACCATACAGGAAAGTAGCGCACTTACTCTTAGTACCAACCATATAGGCAAGTAACGCACTTACTCTTAGTACCAACCATACGGGTAAGTAGCGCACTTACTCATACTACCAACCATACAGGTATATAACGCTCTTACTTTTAGTACCAACCATACGGGTATATAACGCACTTACTTTAGTACCAACCATACAGGTAAGTAGCACACTTACTCTTAGTACTAACTATACAGGTAAGTAACGCACTTAATCTTACTACCAACCATACAGGTGAATTACGCACTTACTATTATTACCAGCCATACGGGTAGGTAACGCACTTACTCTAGTACTAACCATACAGGTAAGTAGCGCACTTACTCTTAGTACCAACCATATAGGCAAGTAACGCATTTACTCTTAGTACCAACCATACGGGTAAGAAACGCACTTACTCTTAGTACCAACCATGCAGGAAAGTAGCGCACTTACTCTTAGTACCAACCATATAGGCAAGTAACGCACTTACTCTTAGTACCAACCATACGGGTAAGTAGCGCACTTACTCTTAGTACCAACCATACGGGTAAGTAACGCACTTACTCTTAGTACCAACCATACAGGTAAGTAACGCACTTGCTCTTACCAACCATATAGGCAAGTAACGCATTTACTCTTAGTACCGACCATACAGTAAGTAACGCACTTACTCTTACCAACCATATAGGCAAGTAACGCATTTACTCTTAGTACTGCTTCTATCCTCCTGCTACATGCTTCTATCCTCCTCCTACATGCTTCTATCCTCCTCCTACATGCTTCTATCCTCCTCCTACATGCTTCTATCCTCCTCCTACATGCTTCTATCCTCCTCCTACATGCTTCTATCCTCCTCCTACATGCTTCTATCCTCCTCCTACATGCTTCTATCCTCCTCCTACATGCTTCTATCCTCCTCCTACATGCTTCTATCCTCCTCCTACATGCTTCTATCCTCCTCCTACATGCTTCTATCCTCCTCCTACATGCTTCTATCCTCCTCCTACATGCTTCTATCCTCCTACTACATGCTTCTATCCTCCTCCTACATGCTTCTATCCTCCTCCTACATGCTTCTATCCTCCTCCTACATGCTTCTATCCTCCTCCTACATGCTTCTATCCTCCTCCTACATGCTTCTATCCTCCTCCTACATGCTTCTATCCTCCTCCCACATGCTTCTATCCTCCTCCTACATGCTTCTATCCTCCTCCTACATGCTTCTATCCTCCTCCTACATGCTTCTATCCTCCTCCTACATGCTTCTATCCTCCTCCTACATGCTTCTATCCTCCTCCCACATGCTTCTATCCTCCTCCCACATGCTTCTATCCTCCTCCTACATGCTTCTATCCTCCTCCTACATGCTTCTATCCTCCTCCTACATGCTTCTATCCTCCTCCTACATGCTTCTATCCTCCTCCTACATGCTTCTATCCTCCTCCCACATGCTTCTATCCTCCTCCTACATGCTTCTATCCTCCTCCTACATGCTTCTATCCTCCTCCTACATGCTTCTATCCTCCTCCTACATGCTTCTATCCTCCTCCTACATGCTTCTATCCTCCTCCTACATGCTTCTATCCTCCTCCTACATGCTTCTATCCTCCTCCTACATGCTTCTATCCTCCTACATGCTTCTATCCTCCTCCTACATGCTTCTATCCTCCTCCTACATGCTTCAATCCTCCTCCTACATGCTTCAATCCTCCTCCTACATGCTTCTATCCTCCTCCCACATGCTTCTATCCTCCTCCTACATGCTTCTATCCTCCTCCTACATGCTTCTATCCTCCTCCTACATGCTTCTATCCTCCTCCCACATGCTTCTATCCTCCTCCCACATGCTTCTATCCTCCTCCCACATGCTTCTATCCTCCTCCCACATGCTTCTATCCTCCTCCCACATGCTTCTATCCTCCTCCCACATGCTTCTATCCTCCTCCCACATGCTTCTATCCTCCTCCCACATGCTTCTATCCTCCTCCCACATGCTTCTATCCTCCTCCTACATGCTTCTATCCTCCTCCCACATGCTTCTATCCTCCTCCCACATGCTTCTATCCTCCTCCCACATGCTTCTATCCTCCTCCCACATGCTTCTATCCTCCTCCCACATGCTTCTATCCTCCTCCCACATGGTTCTATCCTCCTCCCACATGCTTCTATCCTCCTCCCACATGCTTCTATCCTCCTCCCACATGCTTCTATCCTCCTCCCACATGCTTCTATCCTCCTCCCACATGCTTCTATCCTCCTCCCACATGCTTCTATCCTCCTCCCACATGCTTCTATCCTCCTCCCACATGCTTCTATCCTCCTCCCACATGCTTCTATCCTCCTCCCACATGCTTCTATCCTCCTCCCACATGCTTCTATCCTCCTCCCACATGCTTCTATCCTCCTCCCACATGCTTCTATCCTCCTCCCACATGCTTCTATCCTCCTCCCACATGCTTCTATCCTCCTCCCACATGCTTCTATCCTCCTCCCACATGCTTCTATCCTCCTCCTACATGCTTCTATCCTCCTCCCACATGCTTCTATCCTCCTCCCACATGCTTCTATCCTCCTCCCACATGCTTCTATCCTCCTCCCACATGCTTCTATCCTCCTCCCACATGCTTCTATCCTCCTCCCACATGCTTCTATCCTCCTCCCACATGCTTCTATCCTCCTCCCACATGCTTCTATCCTCCTCCCACATGCTTCTATCCTCCTCCCACATGCTTCTATCCTCCTCCCACATGCTTCTATCCTCCTCCCACATGCTTCTATCCTCCTCCCACATGCTTCTATCCTCTTCCCACATGCTTCTATCCTCCTCCCACATGCTTCTATCCTCCTCCCACATGCTTCTATCCTCCTCCCACATGCTTCTATCCTCCTCCCACATGCTTCTATCCTCCTCCCACATGCTTCTATCCTCCTCCCACATGCTTCTATCCTCCTCCCACATGCTTCTATCCTCCTCCCACATGCTTCTATCCTCCTCCCACATGCTTCTATCCTCCTCCCACATGCTTCTATCCTCCTCCCACATGCCTCTATCCTCCTCCCACATGCTTCTATCCTCCTCCCACATGCTTCTATCCTCCTCCCACATGCTTCTATCCTCCTCCCACATGCTTCTATCCTCCTCCCACATGCTTCTATCCTCCTCCCACATGCTTCTATCCACCTCCTACATGCTTCTATCCTCCTCCCACATGCTTCTATCCTCCTCCCACATGCTTCTATCCTCCTCCCACATGCTTCTATCCACCTCCCACATGCTTCTATCCTCCTCCTACATGCTTCTATCCTCCTCCTACATGCTTCAATCCTCCTCCTACATGCTTCAATCCTCCTCCTACATGCTTCTATCCTCCTCCCACATGCTTCTATCCTCCTCCTACATGCTTCTATCCTCCTCCTACATGCTTCTATCCTCCTCCTACATGCTTCTATCCTCCTCCTACATGCTTCTATCCTCCTCCTACATGCTTCTATCCTCCTCCCACATGCTTCTATCCTCCTCCCACATGCTTCTATCCTCCTCCCACATGCTTCTATCCACCTCCTACATGCTTCTATCCTCCTCCCACATGCTTCTATCCTCCTCCTACATGCTTCTATCCTCCTCCCACATGCTTCTATCCTCCTCCTACATGCTTCTATCCTCCTCCCACATGCTTCTGTCCTCCTCCCACATGCTTCTATCCTCCTCCCACATGCTTCTATCCTCCTCCCACATGCTTCTATCCTCCTCCCACATGCTTCTATCCTCCTCCCACATGCTTCTATCCTCCTCCCACATGCTTCTATCCTCCTCCCACATGCTTCTATCCTCCTTCCACATGCTTCTATCCTCCTCCTACATGTTTCTATCCTCCTCCCACATGCTTCTATCCTCCTCCCACATGCTTCTATCCTCCTCCCACATGCTTCTATCCTCCTCCCACATGCTTCTATCCTCCTCCCACATGCTTCTATCCTCCTCCCACATGCTTCTATCCTCCTCCCACATGCCTCTATCCTCCTCCCACATGCTTCTATCCTCCTCCCACATGCTTCTATCCTCCTCCCACATGCTTCTATCCTCCTCCCACATGCTTCTATCCTCCTCCCACATGCTTCTATCCTCCTCCCACATGCTTCTATCCTCCTCCCACATGCTTCTATCCTCCTCCCACATGCTTCTATCCTCCTCCCACATGCTTCTATCCTCCTCCCACATGCTTCTATCCTCCTCCCACATGCTTCTATCCTCCTCCCACATGCTTCTATCCTCCTCCCACATGCTTCTATCCTCCTCCCACATGCTTCTATCCTCCTCCCACATGCTTCTATCCTCCTCCCACATGCTTCTATCCTCCTCCCACATGCTTCTATCCTCCTCCCACATGCTTCGTACCCTCCTCCCACATGCTTCTATCCTCCTCCTACATGCTTCTATCCTCCTCCCACATGCTTCTATCCTCCTCCTACATGCTTCTATCCTCCTCCCACATGCTTCTATCCTCCTTCCACATGCTTCTATCCTCCTCCTACATGCTTCTATCCTCCTCCCACATGCTTCTATCCTCCTCCCACATGCTTCTATCCTCCTCCCACATGCTTCTATCCTCCTCCTACATGCTTCTATCCTCCTCCCACATGCTTCTATCCTCCTCCCACATGCTTCTATCCTCCTCCCACATGCTTCTATCCACCTCCTACATGCTTCTATCCTCCTCCCACATGCTTCTATCCTCCTCCTACATGCTTCTATCCTCCTCCCACATGCTTCTATCCTCCTCCTACATGCTTCTATCCTCCTCCCACATGCTTCTATCCTCCTCCTACATGCTTCTATCCTCCTCCCACATGCTTCTATCCTCCTCCCACATGCTTCTATCCTCCTCCCACATGCTTCTATCCTCCTCCTACATGCTTCTATCCTCCTCCCACATGCTTCTATCCTCCTCCCACATGCTTCTATCCTCCTCCCACATGCTTCTATCCTCCTCCCACATGCTTCTATCCTCCTCCTACATGCTTCTATCCTCCTCCCACATGCTTCTATCCTCCTCCCACATGCTTCTATCCTCCTCCCACATGCTTCGTACCCTCCTCCCACATGCTTCTATCCTCCTCCTACATGCTTCTATCCTCCTCCCACATGCTTCTATCCTCCTCCCACATGCTTCTATCCTCCTCCCACATGCTTCTATCCTCCTCCCACATGCTTCTATCCTCCTCCCACATGCTTCTATCCTCCTCCCACATGCTTCTATCCTCCTCCCACATGCTTCTATCCTCCTCCCACATGCTTCTATCCTCCTCCCACATGCTTCTATCCTCCTCCCACATGCTTCTATCCTCCTCCCACATGCGTCTATCCTCCTCCCACATGCTTCTATCCTCCTCCCACATGCTTCTATCCTCCTCCACATGCTTCTATCCTCCTCCCACATGCTTCTATCCTCCTCCCACATGCTTCTATCCTCCTCCTACATGCTTCTATCCTCCTCCCACATGCTTCTATCCTCCTCCCACATGCTTCTATCCTCCTCTCACATGCTTCTATCCTCCTCCTACATGCTTCTATCCTCCTCCCACATGCTTCTATCCTCCTCCCACATGCTTCTATCCTCCTCCCACATGCTTCTATCCTCCTCCCACATGCTTCTATCCTCCTCCCACATGCTTCTATCCTCCTCCCACATGCTTCTATCCTCCTCCCACATGCTTCTATCCTCCTCCCACATGCTTCTATCCTCCTCCCACATGCTTCTATCCTCCTCCCACATGCTTCTATCCTCCTCCCACATGCTTCTATCCTCCTCCCACATGCTTCTATCCTCCTCCCACATGCTTCTATCCTCCTCCCACATGCTTCTATCCTCCTCCCACATGCTTCTATCCTCCTCCCACATGCTTCTATCCTCCTCCCACATGCTTCTATCCTCCTCCCACATGCTTCTATCCTCCTCCCACATGCTTCTATCCTCCTCCCACATGCTTCTATCCTCCTCCCACATGCTTCTATCCTCCTCCCTACATGCTTCTATCCTCCTCCCACATGCTTCTATCCTCCTCCCACATGCTTCTATCCTCCTCCCACATGCTTCTATCCTCCTCCCACATGCTTCTATCCTCCTCCTACATGCTTCTATCCTCCTCCCACATGCTTCTATCCTCCTCCCACATGCTTCTATCCTCCTCCCACATGCTTCTATCCTCCTCCCACATGCTTCTATCCTCCTCCCACATGCTTCTATCCTCCTCCCACATGCTTCTATCCTCCTCCCACATGCTTCTATCCTCCTCCCACATGCTTCTATCCTCCTCCCACATGCTTCTATCCTCCTCCCACATGCTTCTATCCTCCTCCCACATGCTTCTATCCTCCTCCCACATGCTTCTATCCTCCTCCCACATGCTTCTATCCTCCTCCCACATGCTTCTATCCTCCTCCCACATGCTTCTATCCTCCTCCCACATGCTTCTATCCTCCTCCCACATGCTTCTATCCTCCTCCCACATGCTTCTATCCTCCTCCCACATGCTTCTATCCTCCTCCCACATGCTTCTATCCTCCTCCCACATGCTTCTATCCTCCTCCCACATGCTTCTATCCTCCTCCCACATGCTTCTATCCTCCTCCCACATGCTTCTATCCTCCTCCCACATGCTTCTATCCTCCTCCCACATGCTTCTATCCTCCTCCCACATGCTTCTATCCTCCTCCCACATGCTTCTATCCTCCTCCCACATGCTTCTATCCTCCTCCCACATGCTTCTATCCTCCTCCCACATGCTTCTATCCTCCTCCCACATGCTTCTATCCTCCTCCCACATGCTTCTATCCTCCTCCCACATGCTTCTATCCTCCTCCCACATGCTTCTATCCTCCTCCCACATGCTTCTATCCTCCTCCCACATGCTTCTATCCTCCTCCCACATGCTTCTATCCTCCTCCCACATGCTTCTATCCTCCTCCCACATGCTTCTATCCTCCTCCCACATGCTTCTATCCTCCTCCCACATGCTTCTATCCTCCTCCCACATGCTTCTATCCTCCTCCCACATGCTTCTATCCTCCTCCCACATGCTTCTATCCTCCTCCCACATGCTTCTATCCTCCTCCCACATGCTTCTATCCTCCTCCCACATGCTTCTATCCTCCTCCCACATGCTTCTATCCTCCTCCCACATGCTTCTATCCTCCTCCCACATGCTTCTATCCTCCTCCCACATGCTTCTATCCTCCTCCCACATGCTTCTATCCTCCTCCCACATGCTTCTATCCTCCTCCCACATGCTTCTATCCTCCTCCCACATGCTTCTATCCTCCTCCCACATGCTTCTATCCTCCTCCCACATGCTTCTATCCTCCTCCCACATGCTTCTATCCTCCTCCCACATGCTTCTATCCTCCTCCCACATGCTTCTATCCTCCTCCCACATGCTTCTATCCTCCTCCCACATGCTTCTATCCTCCTCCCACATGCTTCTATCCTCCTCCCACATGCTTCTATCCTCCTCCCACATGCTTCTATCCTCCTCCCACATGCTTCTATCCTCCTCCCACATGCTTCTATCCTCCTCCCACATGCTTCTATCCTCCTCCCACATGCTTCTATCCTCCTCCCACATGCTTCTATCCTCCTCCCACATGCTTCTATCCTCCTCCCACATGCTTCTATCCTCCTCCCACATGCTTCTATCCTCCTCCCACATGCTTCTATCCTCCTCCCACATGCTTCTATCCTCCTCCCACATGCTTCTATCCTCCTCCCACATGCTTCTATCCTCCTCCCACATGCTTCTATCCTCCTCCCACATGCTTCTATCCTCCTCCCACATGCTTCTATCCTCCTCCCACATGCTTCTATCCTCCTCCCACATGCTTCTATCCTCCTCCCACATGCTTCTATCCTCCTCCCACATGCTTCTATCCTCCTCCCACATGCTTCTATCCTCCTCCCACATGCTTCTATCCTCCTCCCACATGCTTCTATCCTCCTCCCACATGCTTCTATCCTCCTCCCACATGCTTCTATCCTCCTCCCACATGCTTCTATCCTCCTCCCACATGCTTCTATCCTCCTCCCACATGCTTCTATCCTCCTCCCACATGCTTCTATCCTCCTCCCACATGCTTCTATCCTCCTCCCACATGCTTCTATCCTCCTCCCACATGCTTCTATCCTCCTCCCACATGCTTCTATCCTCCTCCCACATGCTTCTATCCTCCTCCCACATGCTTCTATCCTCCTCCCACATGCTTCTATCCTCCTCCCACATGCTTCTATCCTCCTCCCACATGCTTCTATCCTCCTCCCACATGCTTCTATCCTCCTCCCACATGCTTCTATCCTCCTCCCACATGCTTCTATCCTCCTCCCACATGCTTCTATCCTCCTCCCACATGCTTCTATCCTCCTCCCACATGCTTCTATCCTCCTCCCACATGCTTCTATCCTCCTCCCACATGCTTCTATCCTCCTCCCACATGCTTCTATCCTCCTCCCACATGCTTCTATCCTCCTCCACATGCTTCTATCCTCCTCCCACATGCTTCTATCCTCCTCCCACATGCTTCTATCCTCCTCCCACATGCTTCTATCCTCCTCCCACATGCTTCTATCCTCCTCCCACATGCTTCTATCCTCCTCCCACATGCTTCTATCCTCCTCCCACATGCTTCTATCCTCCTCCCACATGCTTCTATCCTCCTCCCACATGCTTCTATCCTCCTCCCACATGCTTCTATCCTCCTCCCACATGCTTCTATCCTCCTCCCACATGCTTCTATCCTCCTCCCACATGCTTCTATCATCCTCCCACATGCTTCTATCCTCCTCCCACATGCTTCTATCCTCCTCCCACATGCTTCTATCCTCCTCCCACATGCTTCTATCCTCCTCCCACATGCTTCTATCCTCCTCCCACATGCTTCTATCCTCCTCCCACATGCTTCTATCCTCCTCCCACATGCTTCTATCCTCCTCCCACATGCTTCTATCCTCCTCCCACATGCTTCTATCCTCCTCCCACATGCTTCTATCCTCCTCCCACATGCTTCTATCCTCCTCCCACATGCTTCTATCCTCCTCCCACATGCTTCTATCCTCCTCCCACATGCTTCTATCCTCCTCCCACATGCTTCTATCCTCCTCCCACATGCTTCTATCCTCCTCCCACATGCTTCTATCCTCCTCCCACATGCTTCTATCCTCCTCCCACATGCTTCTATCCTCCTCCCACATGCTTCTATCCTCCTCCCACATGCTTCTATCCTCCTCCCACATGCTTCTATCATCCTCCCACATGCTTCTATCCTCCTCCCACATGCTTCTATCCTCCTCCCACATGCTTCTATCCTCCTCCCACATGCTTCTATCCTCCTCCCACATGCTTCTATCCTCCTCCCACATGCTTCTATCCTCCTCCCACATGCTTCTATCCTCCTCCCACATGCTTCTATCCTCCTCCCACATGCTTCTATCCTCCTCCCACATGCTTCTATCCTCCTCCCACATGCTTCTATCCTCCTCCCACATGCTTCTATCCTCCTCCCACATGCTTCTATCCTCCTCCCACATGCTTCTATCCTCCTCCCACATGCTTCTATCCTCCTCCCACATGCTTCTATCCTCCTCCCACATGCTTCTATCCTCCTCCCACATGCTTCTATCCTCCTCCCACATGCTTCTATCCTCCTCCCACATGCTTCTATCCTCCTCCCACATGCTTCTATCCTCCTCCCACATGCTTCTATCATCCTCCCACATGCTTCTATCCTCCTCCCACATGCTTCTATCCTCCTCCCACATGCTTCTATCCTCCTCCCACATGCTTCTATCCTCCTCCCACATGCTTCTATCCTCCTCCCACATGCTTCTATCCTCCTCCCACATGCTTCTATCCTCCTCCCACATGCTTCTATCCTCCTCCCACATGCTTCTATCCTCCTCCCACATGCTTCTATCCTCCTCCCACATGCTTCTATCCTCCTCCCACATGCTTCTATCCTCCTCCCACATGCTTCTATCCTCCTCCCACATGCTTCTATCCTCCTCCCACATGCTTCTATCCTCCTCCCACATGCTTCTATCCTCCTCCCACATGCTTCTATCCTCCTCCCACATGCTTCTATCCTCCTCCCACATGCTTCTATCCTTCCCCACATGCTTCTATCCTCCTCCCACATGCTTCTATCCTCCTCCCACATGCTTCTATCCTCCTCCCACATGCTTCTATCCTTCCCCACATGCTTCTATCCTCCTCCCACATGCTTCTATCCTCCTCCCACATGCTTCTATCATCCTCCCACATGCTTCTATCCTCCTCCCACATGCTTCTATCCTCCTCCCACATGCTTCTATCCTCCTCCCACATGCTTCTATCCTCCTCCCACATGCTTCTATCCTCCTCCCACATGCTTCTATCCTCCTCCCACATGCTTCTATCCTCCTCCCACATGCTTCTATCCTCCTCCCACATGCTTCTATCCTCCTCCCACATGCTTCTATCCTCCTCCCACATGCTTCTATCCTCCTCCCACATGCTTCTATCCTCCTCCCACATGCTTCTATCCTCCTCCCACATGCTTCTATCCTCCTCCCACATGCTTCTATCCTCCTCCCACATGCTTCTATCCTCCTCCCACATGCTTCTATCCTCCTCCCACATGCTTCTATCCTCCTCCCACATGCTTCTATCCTCCTCCCACATGCTTCTATCCTCCTCCCACATGCTTCTATCCTCCTCCCACATGCTTCTATCCTTCCCCACATGCTTCTATCCTCCTCCCACATGCTTCTATCCTCCTCCCACATGCTTCTATCCTCCTCCCACATGCTTCTATCCTTCCCCACATGCTTCTATCCTCCTCCCACATGCTTCTATCCTCCTCCCACATGCTTCGTACCCTCCTCACATGCCTCTCCTCCCACATGCCTCTCCTCCCACATGCCTCTCCTCCTACATGCTTCTTCGCCGCGTGCACGGTAACCGCCGCAGGTTGCTCCGCGGAGATCAGTCCGCGCTCGGTGGTGCCAACGGCGGGCGTGCCCGCCTTCTTTCCGCGCAACGGATTGCGCCGCCCGCCCGCCGAGAAGCCCATGGCCGTCAAACCCGCGCGCCCCGCTACCCCGCCGGGATCAGGCGCGCGCCCTCCGGGCACTCCTCCCGGAAAGCCACCGTCGGCCAGGGCGGCGGGCGCGGCGGGGACAGAGTCTGTCAGCAGATCGGGTGGTGGAGCTGCCATGATTCGTCGGGTGAGGCCTCACTGAAAACTACCGCACGCGCGAAGGGTGAGGGAAAACTGGGGCGGGGTGGGCCAGGCAGGACGCGCGACGAGGGAAGTAGGGCGCGCGCGACGGAGGGAAGCGGGGCGCGCGCGACTTTTGCTGCAGAGCGCGCTACGAGAGTGTAACGGGAAAGGGTGCCGCGGAGATTATAATAGAGGTTTGGGACAGCCTAAGGTGCGAACGGTACAGGCCTGAGAAAGGCCTAAAAACCTTAGGCCTAGGAAATGCCTAGGCTAGAATTACGAAATCACATGAATCGCTTAGGATGCGTCACCTGTATAAAATGAAACCGATCGATCCTGTCATCAAGGGGTTGCAAAATATCATTTCGAAAGTGTACACCTTAGGTTTCAGGACGCGGTCACTCGAGAGGGTCGAGGGAGGATCTCTTGTGTTCACCGAACCTCGGGCACTATTCTCTGATCAATCGTACTGTGCATATGACGATTGGACTTTTTAATCTGCTCCCCAGTTGTGATCACGATCGTCAATGGGGTGTGTCCAGTTCGGCGTAACAGTGATTTTTTTCCCTTTTGTCGCCTGACAACCGAGTATACGTAGTTGCGCCCCCTTTCTTGTCGCGTCTGGTATATTGTGCTTCTGCGGATGTCTGACCATGAAATTTCGTTAACTCGCTAGCCAGCGATTGATCTTGCTTGACCACTGACGCCCGATCGAAAGATTGTCGTGGATCCCTGGACGATCGGTTGTCCCTCTTAAACATCGCATATGGGGTAGCAATCGAGCACTGTAGATCTTTGTTGTAGCACAGTTACGTATCTGGTAACTAAGAAACCACCTAAGAATTTGATCCGGTCCCCTCGCCGATCGGTGTGAGTGCCCGCGTCCTAACCATTCTGGATTTTGCTGAAGATCTGGCTGCGTGGATTCCAATGCAAGAAATCAAAGGACATTGAGCTCTCCGAAGTCACAGACAGAATCCATGGCTGCCTTGGTTTCTCCACGCGTTTCGTCTCGTGTCCCACGCGGAGCCGAATTCGGTAACCATCAAAGCCGAAACCTGTCTTGTCGCATCCGCACCAAACACTGTTCGGTTGCGGTTGGCATTTTAAGTTACGGCAAAAAGTTTCTTGACATTCGCCGTTCACTATGTTTCCCCCATTCCGATTTTCCCACATAGTTCTTCCATAGCTTCTTAGGATTCCGCCTCACCGTTCTAGCTGTGGGTTCCCCACCTTAGGACGACATTTCCCACCGCTCCTAATGTTGTTCTACCACCCTTAAGACAAGCGCGTAAGCCGGTATATACTAGGGCAGCGGCGAACCACCCCAACAGAAATGTCATTTGATGAATCGAAAGGATCCGGTAGTTCTTGCGGGTGTGTGCATCCTGCATCATGTAACGGTCCGTTTCGTAATAACGAGGATGTGGACCCCGAGGCGCCAGCGAGCTGTCGCACGGTGTCGTTCGACGTGTCGCAAGAAACGCACTACGTCATCGTCGTCCACGGCACGTTCGCGCCGCCGGCCGGCGGACCGCGCACGCCGTGGTACCAGCCCGCGGCGCCCGGCGAAATCAACTTCTGCAATAAGCTCGGCGCGCTTCTCGCGGAGGGGCCGCTCGGCGACGGATGCGTGTGGCGCGTGCTGCCGGCGGAGCCGCCTCCGCAACTTGGCATCCCGTATCCGTTTTACTGGGACGGCACGAACAGGCATGAAGGGCGCATCGACGCCGCACACAAAGTACTAATCACGCTGTATTCTCCTGAAGCAAACACCCGTGATATTTCTCCAAAGAAGATGCATATACTCTTGTCATTTTTTCCCCCTCGATATCCAAGCTACACCGCAAAATCAAGTCTTCCCCCCCAGTTCACCCCCAGTTCTCCCCTTCCCGCCTTCACCTCTCAACGCCAGTCAGCACAGTTACCACCACTCCTTGCTTCTCTTCCGTCCTTTTCTCCGATTTCCCCCCCATCCTCCTCTCACTCCCCCCCACCCCCCCACCGCCCCACTCTCCACCTACTCACCCCTTCTCCTCCCTTTTCCTCTTCTTCCCCCTCCTCTACCTCTTCTCCCTCCTCTCTGCCTCTCTCCCCTGTTGTCTCCCCTGTTTTTGCCCTTTATTCCGCCTCCATCAATATTGCCGTTTACCTCCTGCCTGCATTCACTCCCACAGCTGGCGGGCCTGCTGGACGTGATAGGGCGCGGCGACCCCTCAGCGCGCATCCACGTCATCGCCCACTCCCACGGGGGCAACGTGCTGCTCAAAGCCATTGAGCTCGTCAGTGCTTACCATCACCCTTTCTTTTACTTTCTTCGTTTGTCGCTTCTGGATCTTTTCCCTAGTTTCTAATATTCTCAAAATATTCTCTCTTTTCCACTCTCTCTCTGCTCTATCATTTGCTCTTATTCTTCCTCACTATCCACTCCCTATTCCCTAACCCCTACCCCCCTCCCCCTCCCTCTCCCTTCTTCCCTCTCCCCCACTCTTTCAAATGGTCCGTTGCGTTGATACGTACGAAATTACAGGCAAGCAGGTTAGTACGTAGGGCCTCTGCTTCAACAACATACTCCCTCTATGGGAGCTCCAGGGAAGGCCAGGCTCCCATTTCCCGCCCTCCCCCTCTCCCCTTCCCCCGCCCTATCCCCCTCTCCTTCCCACCCCCCCTCCCTTCCCCCTTAACCCCCTCCCCTTCCCCCTTACCCCCTCCCCCTTCCCCCTTACCCCCCCCCCTCTTCTCCCTATCCCCCTCCCCCTTCCGATCCCCACCTGTCTATCCCCTCCCTTTCCCCTTGCCCCTCCCTTACCGCGCCCCCCCCTGCCCCCCGACCACCCGCCACGCACACGCAGTACATGAAGGGCCAGGGCAGAAAGGACGTTTCCGATCTTCCGCCAGCTGTCCTCCAACAATTCTGGGCGGCGTACAAGAGCAGATACGATTTGATTCGCCACTGGCAGAAGCCGGATCTTTCCAATACCTGCTGGCGCTTTGTCCCCTTTCTTGTTGTGAAAAGGAGGTACGCTGCTCACCCTCCCTCGCCCACCTCCCCTCCTCACTCCCCTTCGTCCCTCCTCCCCCTTTCCTCCCTCGCCTCCCTCCACCTCCCTTTCCTCCCTCCCCTCTCTCCCCTCCCTTCCCTCCCCTCCCCTCCCATCCCTCCGCTCCCTCCTTCCCTCTCTCTCGTACCTTTTCTATCTGCTACCTTCCCCATCCTCCTCTACCTCTCTCTTGATCACTGGCTTGAATCAATGGCTAGGGAGAGAAACAAACGGGCATGAGGCAAAATGGGCTGCTCGTGTCAGATATTTCTAGGGAGTTGTGGCACCAAGTAGGCTTGGCCTGAGGCTTGACACCGGCCAAGAACGTACCATCAAGCACAACGTTTGTGTTTGGCTTTTTTTTGTCAGCCCGTGCATATATCGGCGAATTTACACCAAAAAGCAGCGTACGATGCATGTGTAACGCTATACGCAGTTTCAGTACAGCGTTTTTCCAACTTAGGCATGCGGAGCACGAAGCAGCAGCAAGTACAGGGGGGAGAAACGCCCTTCTCGTGCCACAGCTAGCGGGCTCCCTCTTAAGCCTGCGAGCTGCCACCAGCACCAAAAAAAAAAAAAAAAACAATCTCCAGTCCTCGTTGCTCCTTCCTTCCCCCTCTTAGCTTCTCCCTGTTACCACCCTTCCCCCTTCTCCCCCTGGTTGTAGCATGGGGGAGCACAGAGCAGGTGGGACGAGGGAGCGGTACCCCTGGGCGCGCTACCGCTGGCTGGACTCCCTCCTGCGCCTGCCCTCCCGGCGCCAGCGCCTCTTCCTCTCACACCGCCTGGCCACGAGCCCGCTGTCCAATGCGGTGGGCGCGGTGGTGTTCCTGGGCACGCCCTTCTACGTCAAGACCTGGCAGCGCCACGGCGTGCTGCTGCTGCTGGTTACCACCGCCGTGTCTGTGGGGGTGACGTTCGTGGTCATGTGGGGCTATGTGCTGCTGTGGCGCCTGGTGGTGCTGGCCATGGCTGGCGAGCTTTCAAGGTAATGGAAATGCACATGGAGGCCGTGTTTGTGGGGTGGGGATGACGTTCGTGGTCTTGTGGTGCTACGCTACGGGCTGCTGTGGCGCGTGATTGTACTCGCCATTGCAGGCGAGCTTGCGAGGTAATGCGCATTGTGGGGTTGCTGGGAAATTGAAAGTTCAAAGTTTTTGTAACAAAACATTAATCCGGTGAACGACTTAGCAAATATCGTCCTCCTTCACACCCTTCTCTCCCTCCTATGCATACGTGCATGGCATGGCACCAGCACCACCATGCCCAGCTACCTGCCCTTCTCCCTTGCTGCTGCTCTTCTTCTCTTCGCCGTCGTCAGTGTGGCATTGGAGGTGGGTGTGATTTTGTAGCGGTGTCATTCTGCCAAGCTGGGGTGGGATCGAGGTGAGACTATATAGAAAGGGGTAATTCCCCAGGGCCCTATGGTGCTCCAGTCCAAGGTGTTTCTTTCAGTTCTGTAAATTTGAGGGAGTGCGGCCATACGATTACATTGAGTCGTGTAAGGGCAATGATGTGATGAGGATTTCTGCAATGGCACTGATGTGATTGTATAATGTAGGTAAGCCATTGTATATCGGTATTCGCGTGACTGTAGGAATTGTGTGGCTATAGAATGGCAAGGAGGTGTGTGGTAGACTACATGTAATTACACCATACCGTACACCTTAATGGTTAAACCCCCTCTCCCTCTGCTCTCCATCCCCTATTCCTCCCTCCCTCTCCACCTCTCTCCTATCCCTCCCTCTCTTTCTCCTGCACTGCACTGCTCTCCACACCCACACGACCCATCACATCACTCTCGATGCACTCTCTTTCTGCTTCCTCACTCTACTCTCTTTCTCCCGTCATCCCCTCTTTCCTCCCCTTTACTCTCTCTCCTCCACCTCCCCTCGTCTCTACCCTCCACCCCCCTATCCCAGCTCTGGCGCAGCACTGCATTCTACAGCGGGAACATCTACCACGCTCCTGGCTTCGATTGGTCGCATGCCATGTCAGCACTCGTCATCCACGCTGGCAAATTAGACGAGGTCAGCCTGGCACTTTCCACTGAGCCTATCGCCCGAGCCTACATCGTCCCGCAGCTAGCCTCCATGCTCAAAACCCCCTTCTGGAAACCCCTTCCCCGCTGCCCAACCACAAACAAATGCTCCGATTGGACGCTTTACATCAGCAACACTGCCCGGATTCTCTTGTGGAACATAATTTTCATCCTGCCCGCAACAGCTGTAGCACTGCTGTCTCGCCTGCTGGCGCCGTTGGTAATCTCGGTGGTGCGGAAAGCGATAGTGACGGTGAGCTTTGGGCTGTCCCCCAAGGAGCTGAGCTTCGCCAGTGTGTTTGTGGACGAGGGCCTTCACCTGGACGAGTGGTCGCCATCACACCACGTGGAGCACTGGAACGTGCAGGTGAGCTCAGATCACATGCAGGTGAGCTCAGATCACATGCAGGTGAGCTCAGATCACATGCAGGTGAGCTCAGATCACATGCAGGTGAGCTCAGATCACATGCAGGTGAGCTCAGATCACATGCAGGTGCGCTCAGATCACATGCAGGTGCGCTCAGATCACATGCAGGTGCGCTCAGATCACATGCAGGTGCGCTCAGATCACATGCAGGTGCGCTCAGATCACATGCAGGTGCGCTCAGATCACATGCAGGTGCGCTCAGATGACATGCAGGTGCGCTCAGATCACATGCAGGTGCGCTCAGATCACATGCAGGTGAGCTCAGATCACATGCAGGTGCGCTCAGATCACATGCAGGTGAGCTCAGATCACATGCAGGTGAGCTCAGATCACATGCAGGTGCGCTCAGATCACATGCAGGTGAGCTCAGATCACATGCAGGTGAGCTCAGATCACATGCAGGTGCGCTCAGATCACATGCAGGTGCGCTCAGATCACATGCAGGTGCGCTCAGATCACATGCAGGTGCGCTCAGATCACATGCAGGTGCGCTCAGATCACATGCAGGTGCGCTCAGATCACATGCAGGTGCGCTCAGATCACATGCAGGTGCGCTCAGATCACATGCAGGTGAGCTCAGATCAGATGCACGCGCAACACTGCAGCAGTTGCAGCAGTACACACCCCTGGAATGTCTTAATGACTTTATATTGTCTTCTTTCGTCTGGCTTTTTAAATGAGGGGAATGAACACTCTCCCTCTAGCTTACTCCTCCCCTCCCCCTCCCCCCTCTCTCCCCACCTTCTCAGAAACTGCTTGCGCTGGCCAAGACGCGCTCGTTGCGGGGGGAGCTGATGGCGGGGTATGAGGATGACACGTGTGACATGGGGAAGGCTGTATTCGGGGAGGGGCTACTTGAAGAGGGGGTGTCTCAAGAGGGCGTAACTGGGAAAGGGGTAGCTGCGGAGGGGTTGATTGGGGAGGGTAAGGCGGAGGAGAGAATGGAGCAGGAGGAGGTTGGAGAGAGGGAGGTGAGGGTGACGAGGCAAGGGGAAGGTGATGAAAGAGTGGGTGCTGAGGGTGCAGGGAGTGCAGGGATAGACGCAATACAGACAAGTGTGTCAAGACCACAGCAGGGCAGCTGCATGCAAGCAGCTGGTCGAACGGGGCTCTCAGGTACCCACTTGGGGTTGGGGGAGGCATTTGGTGCCGCCCAACAGCAAATGGTGGCAGCAGCAGGAGAGAAGGGAGGGCAGGGCAGAGCACCAGGAAGCGTGAGGCGGAGCTTAAGCCTCACGGAGCAGGCTCTGCGACAGGGGGGGGAGAGAGGGGAGGGCGGTGAGGAGATGGGTGAAGAAGGGGGTGAAAGCAAGGAAGGGCGAGCGGGGGGAGGGGGCAGCGCTGCAGAGGGAGTTGGACGTGCAGGAGAGGGAGTTGGACGTGCAGCACGGAGGGGGGGAGTGGGCGAGGCCTCCGTTGAGGGTGCACGTGAAGAGATGAAAGGAAAGCAGCAGCAGCAACAGCAAAAGCGGGTAACAGAGGAGAAGGGGGTGAGGCCGAGGCACGAGGGGCAGCTGAAGACGACAGGAGTGCAGCACGGCAGCGGCAGGCAGCAGCGAGTGAGTGCGAGAGGCAGCAGGGAGGAGGCAGCACGGGTGGCATATGAATTCCTGTGGAACGATGGTGCGCTGGAGGCAGCAGCGAGTGAGTCAGAGACGTACAAGCTGCTGCGCCCGCAGCTGCAGGCCATCACCCACAACCCGCGCCTCTCCGACCAGGAGTGCGTGCGCCAGGTGAGCCAGCTGCTGCCATGCCGTCCATTACCCTGCTCGCTGCCGCGACCTCAGTAATGTGCAATCTACTAAGCGTGCGCTGGTGTGACCTTGAAAGGTGCGCATTCACACACAGCCCGCAGTTGAAGGTGCATGTGGCAGGAAATCAAGTGGTCTTTTTGAACCCGACTTGCAGCCTAGCCGGAAGGTAAGCAAACAAGCAACCAGGAGGTGCGCGATTTATGATACAAGCAAGCGAGCCGTGTGCTGGGCGGATCACTCTCTCTGTACTTTCTCCTCAACAGCCGACATGGTCCACTTAGAATAAACAGTTTTTGGGAGCCCTACGTGGAGTGTATGATTCCCTCCTCTTTGACCTGGTCCATGTCTCCCCCTCGTCCCTCGTGCAGGTGAAGCAGCTGTGTGTGATGATAGAGGAGCGGTGAGGCGAGCTGACCGGCCAATTCGACCTCAACCACGGGGCTTACTTCCGAGATCCCCGCATTATCAGGGCTATGGTGCACTTCCTGGGACACAGGGAGCTCCCTGATTGGTCCAGGGAGATCGACACTGATGTGTTGAGGGCTGAAGAAAGGATCAGGTTTGGGAGACTTGGGCACAGGGGTGCAGGTAGATAGTGTTTGTGATAGCCTGAGGAACTTCATGTTAGGATAGGGCGTTTCTAAAGCCAGCGGCTAAAATAGTTTGGCGCTACAACATGGTTAGAACACACACACACACATACATCAAAACTCTTGTATGTTGAGGGCAATGAATCCATGCAGCAGGCGGCCATTGGTGGAGCGCAGTTCATTGATCATCCTCACCCAGTTGGACCCCATCGCCCCAATGAAGAAGTCACACTGCGCTGCTGTGAGCAGCTCTGCCAGGCTGCTGCCCACCACCACGTGGCGCCCGGCTGCCTCCTCCACGTCCCAGTGCGGCACCGACACGTTGGTGCGCGCGTTGCTGGAGTGCAGGAAGGTCCAGTCGCGATACTGCGCCGCCTCGTCTATCACCGTCTGCAGCAATGCACAGAGAGAGATAGAGGTGTTGGCATGAAAGCGGGGAACAGCGGCCCACGGTACAGCCTTGAATTTAGACAGGCAGGGTGGCCATATCACAGTGCACCCAAAGCTTTCCACCATCGATGCCATGCACATATGGTTATGCTACCCCAAACTTCCCTGCTCACACCCTCTATGCCTCCACCCATAAAACTCCATAGCCCTATCCGCTCCACACTTCCCACACATCCTTCCCCCCCCAGCGCACCTGCATTTCGGAGGAGAGCCAGATGTGGCGCAGGTGGGGCAGCGCGAGGCGCAGGCGGTAGGCCATCCACATGTGGGCGGCCAGCGAGTGCAGTGCCATCTCCCCGCCCTTGTCGCTCTGCCGCACATGCATGCTCACTATCGGCCGCGGCAGGTACGCCTCCCACGCCCCCTCCTCGCCCCACTCGCTGCCCCATGCCTCCCCCTCACCCGCCCCATCTACCGCCTGCTCTGCTGGCTGCGAGCTGCTGCCACTGTCGCTTCTGCTGCCATCACCACCACCACTTCTGCTGCTGCTGCTGCTGCTGCTGCTGCTGCTTCTGCTGCTGCTGCTGCTGCTGCTACCAGGACTGGAGCCAGCGCCAGCAGCGCTACAGGCAGTGCGGGTGGGAGCACATTGGCCCAGCCCCTGGCGAGCCCATGCAGTGGCCTCGAGAGTGCAAGCCTGCTGCCCGGGCTGATGCCACGGAAACACTCTGCTGCTCGTCTGAAGAGAGCTTGAAGCTTCTCTTGTGCCTGCTGCTACGCTCCTGCCTCCCCTGTCTTCCATGTCTGCGGCTGCACTCGTGTTACCGAATGCACTCGTGTTACCAGCTGCGGTTGTGTTACCAGCTGCAATTGTGTTACCAGCTGCAACGGTGTTACCAGGTACAATTGTATTACCAGCTGCAATTGTGTTACCAGCTGCAACGGTGTTACCAGCTGCAATTGTGTTACCAGCTGCAATTGTGTTACCAGTTGCAATTGTGTTACCAACTGCACTTGTGTTACCAGCTGCACTTGTGTTACCAGCTGCACTTGTGCTACCAGCGGCACTGGTGTTACCAGCCGCACTTGTGTTACCAGCCGCACTTGTGTTACCAGCTGCAATTGTGTTACCAGCCGCACTTGTGTTACCAGTTGCACTCGTGTTACCAGGTGCAATTGTGTTACCAGCTACACTTGTGTTACCAGCTGCACTTGTGTTACCAGCTGCACTTGTGTTACCAGCTGCACTTGTGTTACCAGCTGCACTTGTGTTACCAGCTACACTTGTGTTACCAGCTGCACTTGTGTTACCAGCTGCACTTGTGTTACCAGCTGCACTTGTGTTACCAGCTACACTTGTGTTACCAGCTGCACTTGTGTTACCAGCTGCACTTGTGTTACCAGCTACACTTGTGTTACCAGCTGCACTTGTGTTACCAGCTGCACTTGAGTTACCAGCTGCACTTGAGTTACCAGCTGCACTTGAGTTACCAGCTGCACTTGAGTCTACAACTTCTGACAGCCTTCTCCTGGTGCTGCTGCCATGAGCAGTGCAGGGAGGGGCATTCCTTTGAAGAGTCTCTTTCAGGTGCGGGTGGGAGCGCAGGAGGGAGGATTGGAGGGCGGAGGAGGAGGAGAGGCGGGTGGCGATGGAGAGGGAGAGGGAGGAGTGGCGCAGGCGGTTGGTGAGGTGGCAGAGGTAGGGCGAGGGCGAGCGCAGCATGAAGCGCAGCGACTGTGCCCGCCACCAGTGCACCTGGCAGAGCGAGAGGGAGGCGTGGGGAGATGGAAAGAGGGGCGTGAGAGAGGCATGCGGAGGTGGGAAGAAGGGCGTGAGGAGAGTGTGGACTAGGCAGGAGAGACTACGAAATGTCCTGTGCACCTGCGCTCTAAGCACGTACGACAGCAGCTGCGGTGCACTACCAGGCGATGCCATGCTGCGGTGCACTACCAGGCGATGCCATGCTGCGGTGCACTACCATTTTCTCACATGCGGCATGCCATCTCACATGCGGCATGCCATCTCACATGCGACATGCCATCTCACATGCGACATGCCATCTCACATGCGACATGCCATCTCACATGCGGCATGCCATCTCACTTGCGACATGCCATCTCACATGCGACATGCCATCTCACATGCGACATGCCATCTCACATGTGGCATGACGTCAGCCTCTTCTGCCATCTTGCCCTTCACCTCCACTGTGTTGGGCCGCTCATACCACGCACCCCACCACCGCCTGCACACACACACACAGGCACACCCACGCACAGGCAAGTCGAGGGAAGAGGATTAATGGAGTGCGTGGTTGGTCGCTCACACCACAGCAGCACAGCCATACACCGTTGCACGGCACGTGCATTCGTGCGTGTGTGTGTGTGTGTGTGTGTGTGTGTGTGTGTGTGTGTGTGTGTGTGTGTGTGTGTGTTTGTGTGTGGGTGGGCGCACGTGGGGGTGCACGAGTGAGCGTGTGCGTGAGCGTACATGTGCATGCAAGGTGCAGCACGGGTCACTCACTTGGCCACTGCAGCCTCGAGCCACAGAGCGCTGTACGGCTCCCCATGGAAGCACACCACGCGCCTCTCACTCGCCAGCATGCTGTCCCTCGCTGGCGCCTCGTGCGACGCACACTCGCCCACCTGCCCTGCTGCTGCTGCGTCTGCTGCTGCCCTCTCACAGTGTGGTGAGACGAGCGGGAAGAAGTAGCAGTGGAAGGACGCTAGGGCGCCCGTGGCTGGGAGAGGGAGAAGAGGGGCCCATGGGTGGATTTGAGAACATGGAGAGGGGGTGTGAAGGAGGGACGGAGCACACGGGGAGCGATGAAAAGGGGGAGCCAGGAGTGGAGGGGAATAGAGAGGAGAGCCGTGGGAGGAGCAAGAGCCACAGCAACATCCACAGCGATCTGTGTGTGGCTGCGGGAGGCATGACATGAGGTAGTGTGAGGAGCACAAGGAGAGGGGATGTAAGAGAGGGGGTCAGGAAATTAGGGAACTAGAATGGAGTGGAGTGGAGACACAGCAGCATGAACACCATCTGCATTCTCCTCGGCCCATGCACGACCCACCCACCCACCCACCCACCCACCCACCATTGCACTCGGCGTGGTTGGCCCGATCAAAGGAGGCGGTGGGCACGAGTACGCGGGAGTGCTGCATGGCGAGGCTGAGAGCGGCGCTCATGATGTGCAGCTGCGACCCCAGCCCATGCTGTGACGCCGGCCAGTCTATCACCAGCAGCCTCTGCGTGCTGCAGTCGCCCGCCGGGAGCTGGTGCTGCCAGATGTCCCTCTGTGCCTCTCGCGTTCGCCCCAGGTTGCTTGCATCTGACCCGCGCACCTGGGGGTGGGCAGTTAGAGGAGGGGGCAGGGAGGGGAAGAGAGAGAGGCAGGGATGTGGGGCAGGCGAGGAGAGACGGTGGGGAGGGGATGGAAAGAGGGCGATGATGATGATGGCAGCAGGGGGGACGGCTGTGTGAGGCGAGGCGTACCAACCCGCACCATGTGGCATGCCAACCCGCACCATGTGGCATGCCAACCGCACCATGTGGCGTGCCAACCCGCACCATGTGGCATGCCAACCCGCACCATGTGGCATGCCAACCCGCACCATGTGGCATGCTGCCTGCAGTGGCACACTGAGCAAGCTGAAAGCAGGAGCACCTCCCCCTGCCCCCCCCCTGCCCCGGCCTGCTGCCATGCGCAGCTTGCTCAAATTGCAGCCGGGGGCCGATCATTGCAGGCCACGGTGCTCCGTTCCCCCGTGTTGCCCTCCTGCCCTGCGCCCTGCGCCTTGCGCCCATCTGCTCCGCATGCCATGCCCCCTGCACGTCGGCCCGCCCACCGCCCGCCACTCACCCAAGGTGGCTGCGGGTGTGCCCCCCACGCCCACCCCGGCGCCTCCCCCTGCGCGCCCCTCCTCTCCACCGCGCGGCGCCATGCGGAGCGCGCACTGCACGCCTCCAGGTGCGGCGCGGGCGGCACGTTGGGTGGCAGCGCGACGGCGGCAGGAGGGGTGGGCGAGGCGCCCTGGAGGCCGTAGGCGGCTTCCCATGCCTGACGGGGAGGAGAGGGGAAGGGGGACAGGGAGGGGAGGGAAAGGAAATGGGGAATGGGAGGGTGGGGAAAATGCCTCGCAGCGGCGGATTCTGCAGGTGCGCCTTGCGCTGCCAGCAGTGCGATGGGGGAAGAGCCCATGGAGAGCGAGAGAGAGGGGGGGGCGATACAAGGCCAGGCCAGGCCCGGGTACACTGACTGACTCTTGCCACTCTTGGCGCGGGTGGGCGTACCCGAGACAAGGACATGGCGTGTTCCAGCCCCGGCTCCACGTGCGCGTGCGTGCAGCCGATGAGCCTCAGCACGGCGAGGAGGCAGAACGCACTGAGGAGCGGCATCGCTTCCCTCACGGTTTTGCCAAGCGTCCCCTCACGGCCTCGCCTTGCCTCGCCACTGCTCAGCCTCGTCTCGCCTGCCGTTGCGGCCCCACTACCTTCCCATCTCCCCTTCCGTGCCTTCCCTTCCTTCCTCCCACTAACTAACTACGCGCCACCACCTCACACTTGTCGTATTGGCAGTCTCGTTAGCGCGGCGACCTCCCGTCACTAATCGAACTTGTCATGAGATGACGGGGTTAGGCAAGTTGAAGCAAGCAAGAAAAACCTTCGCAGTAGTCACTGAAATAGCAAGAGAAAAGGAGAACGCGAAGGAGGTGGAGGGAAGGAAGAAGAAAAGGTGATTAGGCAAGCATAGGCTGTGACGGCACAACATGAAGTCTAGTGGAAAGAGATGAGGGAAAAAGGGAAAGGACGGGGATAGGGAAGCGGGAATATAAGGAAGAGGGCGGACAGGGAAGAGGGGAGAGGGGGAAATGAGGAGAGAAGAAGAGGGGGGGAGGGAAGGGAGGAGATAGGAAGAGGGGAGAGAGGGAAAAGAGGAGATCAAAAGAGGGCGGGGAGGGAAGGAAGGAGATAGGAAGAGGGGGAAGAGGGAAAGGGGAAAATCGGAATAGTGGGGGGAAGGGGAGGGAGGAGATAGGAAGAGGTGGGAGAGGGATTGGGGGGGATAGGGAAGAGCGGAAACAGGGAAAAGGGGAGAGAGGGAAGAGAAGAGAGAGAAAAGAGGGCAGTCAAGGACGATGGGAGAAGGGGAAGGAAAGCGCACGCAGGGAGGAAACAGAGGGCAAGCAGGGTGAGCGCAAGCAAGGTGGGGGTAAGGGGATAGGGGAAGGGTGGGGCAATTAGGAGGGAAACTGAGGGGAAGCACGGGGGAAAACGAAGGAAAATAGGGTGAAACTGAGGGTAGGCAGAGGGGACCATGAGAGGAAGCAGGGGGTAAATGAAGGCAAGCGGGCTTTGAAGGGATGGGCAAGAAAAAGAGGGGAGGGAGTGGATGTGAGGGCGATTTCTGTTTGATTGCGCTCAAAGCCCGGGGGAGAAGGGAAGGGAAGGGAAGGGGACGGAAAAGGCAGGGCAGCGTAGGGTGGGGGAGTTGTAGAAGGGGCAGTGAAGGAAGTGAAAGGAGCGGCAAGGAAGGAAAGGGAAAGGGAGGGGCAGGGAAGGCCTGGGTAGGTGGAAGGGACCATAGGGGCGGCAGTGCGCACACTCACCTGCTGTAAGCGCGGATCAAATCGCGCGCCAATATGCAGCTCCTTCCCTTGCCGCGGCCCCTCACTAGCCCACACTAGCCCTTGCCGTGGCTCCGGCGTCACCGTCCACGCTTGAACGCCACTGGAGGGGCGAGGGACCAGGGGTTTGGGAGGGGTGGGGGGGGGGAGGATGGGTGAAGGAAAAGGAGAAGGATGGGGGCGAGAAATTTCTTGAATTTCGCTCACAGCCGTAGGAGAACGGATGAGAAAACTTGAAGTATGGAAAGGGCGGGCGTGGGAGGGGATGAGAACGAAAGGATGGAAACAGAGGGGAAGGGGAGACGCGGCGGAGGGAGGTGCAACGAGGGGACGCGCGACGAGGGGAGATGAGGTGACGAGGGGAGGAACGACGTAAGGAGTCGAGGCGCGATGATGGGCCGGGACGCGCGACGATGGGAGGGGAGGCGGCACGAGGGGGCGCGAATAGGGGCGGGGGGGCTCGATGAGGGGAGGCGCGACGGGAGGCGCGACGGGAGGCGCGGAAAGTGTGTAAGGAGGGGAGTCGCGTCGGGCGGAGTGGAGGCGCGACAAGGGGGAGGCATAGCGAGGTGCGTGGGCAGGCGCGGTGGCGCGGCTGCACTCACCCTCTTCACCACACTAATTAGTGTGTACGTTTCAAAGCTCCCTAAGTCCTTAGTATTTCCTGCTGCGAATGCTGCATCATTCACTGGCTTTCTGAAATAGAGTGAATGGTGATGATTTTGTTGAATCATCACCGTTTTAAGGTGACCCCTTGTACATGCTTTCATGACAGCACCAGTGTTGAACGATGGTTATGGGTTACTATCGAGCCTCGTAGTATTGCGTTTTCAGTAGATGGGTTTGGTTGGGTGGCAACCAATTTTGCTCTCCAACTTCATCACTTCAGAAGAGTTGCTTGCATGGACGTCATTCCAGGTCCAGGCTTCACGCGCGATGTTGCTACCGCCTCTATCCTACTTGGACTTCACTTTTCCTACTGATGGAGCCGTCGCGGTAACTCTTGACGGGTAACCCGGAGTAATCATTTGAGCTGGAATTCGTGATGGAGTTTTGTATAAGAACCTTGATGCGATGAGGTAGTTGCGAAGAGAGATGGCAGTTGTGAACGCACACAGGGAGAAGCAGGGCGGGAAGGGGCGCGCGGGTCAAGAGTCGATTCAGCAAAAGCAGATCGGCGGGAAAACGGGCGTGCGACTCGTGGTACCGTACTCGTGGCGAATAGTATCATGTCTTCTCGTCCTTCTCCTCGCTGCGCAAGTGAGTGTTTGGCTCCCGTCGATCATCGGCAATTCCGGACTGCGTCGCATCCCGTCTGCATCGCTTGCCGTCTTCGCATCCCCTCTGCGCGCCTATCGGACTTCAGCACCCTGCCCTCCCTCTCTCACTCCCCTATCTCCCACCATTCTCTCGTCTAACCCAATCAGAGCCCGCCACGTGTCACAGCCATAGACGTGGAGGGCGGGCTGGGAGGCGCGGAGGACCCGTGGGGGTGGGCGTATCGGGAGGAGGTGTGCGGCGCGTGGCACACCAACTACACCCATCTGCACCGCATCATCCGCTCCGCCGCCCGCCAGCTCATGCAGACGCGACAGGCTGGCTCGGCTGGGGCTGGCGGTGGTGTAGCTGGGGAAGGAGGGGCGGACGGGGGCGGGGGCGGGGGCTGGGAAGAGCACGGCGACGAGGGGCGAGGGGAAGGGGGTAGCGGGGACGGGGAAGGCGGCGGCGAGGCGGCGCGCATGGCTGGCATGGTGCGGTTTGCGACGTACTCGTGCTCATCGCTGGCGCGGTGTGGCGGCGTGGGCGACGTGCTGCTGGGCGTGTTCTCCACCTTCCTCATCGCGCTGCTGCAGGACCGCGCCCTCGTGCTAAGCCACCCGCTCCTGCACCACGCCTTCCTCCCCGCCCACGTCAACTGGACCCTCGACAGCGACGTGCCCTGGGGGCCGGGCCGGGAGCTCGACCCCAACAACCCCACCGACGGTGCGCAACAGCATTCACCCTGTGTGGGTTACCATGCGTGCGCGTTGGGGACATGACATGGGCAGGTGGAATGCGCTCGATGCTCACCCGTGCCTCAACCTCCACCGTTTCGCTGGGCGCCTCTGGGTCCGTTGTCCCCCGTTTCTTCCTTCGCTCTCTCCCGTCTCCTCCATGCAGAGGCGCAGCCAGGAGAGGTGACGGACGTGAATCTGCAGGACACGGTGCCGCCCAGCCCCGAGGCGTTCTTCGCGCGCCACGAGGCAGCCGCCAACATCCGCGTGCGGTGGAACCGCGGGGTGGCCACGCGCCTCTTCAGGGAGGGCGGCGAGTGGACCCGTCTGTTGCACCGCCTCGGCCTGCGCCTGCCCGTCTCCTTCGGCTGCGTCATCCGCTTTCTGCTCAGGTGCCATGCGCTGTCTGCTCAGGTGCCATGCGCTTTCTGCTCAGGTGCCATGCGCTTTCTGCTCAGGTGCCATGCGCTTTCTGCTCAGGTGCCATGCGCTTTCTGCTCAGGTGCCATGCGCTTTCTGCTCAGGTGCCATGCGCTTTCTGCTCAGGTGCCATGCGCTTTCTGCTCAGGTGCCATGCGCTTTCTGCTCAGGTGCCATCCGCTTCCAGCCCTTCCCGACTCCTGTGCCTTGTCTCAGGTCCCCCACTCTGCTCCTGCCCTGTTGCCCATGCCTATGTTGCACTTTAATTCTCCTTGGGATTCTCATATGTTCCACTTTCCACTCCCCACTCTCCCTGGCTTGGTAAATGTGCTGCATTGCGTCAACCCTACAGCTGCGTCATATTCACCTGTGTTGCTCCCGTGTCCCCCGCCTTGCCATGCGCTTGTCATAAGTTCAAATCTCCGCTCTCTTTGGCTTGTCATACCAATTTCCATCCTCCTTGGGCCGTCATGTGGTCCAGTTTCCGCTCTCTTTGGCTTGTCAAGTGTTGTGCAATGAGACACCCCTACAGCTGCGTCACCCCCTCCCTCCCCCCACCTCCATGTGTGTTCTCCCTCTCCACCTGTGTTGCTCCCCCCTCCCCCCGCCCTGCACTTCGTTGCTCGCGGTGCCGCCATGTGTGTGGCAGGCCCAAGCTGGAAGTGCTGAGGGCGGTGGAGCAGCAGATGAGGGAGTTGGAGCGGCCGGGGGTGAGCAGCATTTGCATCCACACTCGCACGCCCGATGAGATGACGTGGACCAATCGGGGGGAGGTGCTTGGTGGGGAGAATGACGCGGCTGCAGAGCTGCTGGGATGGGCCAGAAACAAGCTCCTGTCATGTGCGCAGGTGAGAGACAAAGCTCCTCTCGCCTCTTGCTTCTGTAATGTTGTCAACTTGGGTGATTACAAGGTTTATTCATGTGACCACGTGGCTTGTCCTCTGTGCTCTAATCTCATTGTTTTCCTTCCCCCCCCGGCATCCCATTCACACCCTTGTCCTCGGTGGCTGCATGTGGCATGCGCACACAAGAGCAGAAGGTGGAGGACTTTTGGATCCCGGGGGATGTGGCGGTGCGGTGGGTGTTTCTGAGCAACTCGCGGGGCATTAAGGAGGCGGTGCTGGCGCAGTACGGCGACAGCAAGGTGCTCACCACGGGCATCACGCCGCTGCACACCGCCATGGTGCGCGCCGCTGCGGCGCGCGTGGCGTCGTGGCAGACGTCGGTGGCGGAGTGGGTGCTGCTGACGCGCTGCTCGCTCTTCGTGGTGACCGAGTCGGGCTTCTCCAAGACCGCCGCGCTCTTCTCGCTGCGCCCCCTCGCCATCTACCTGCTCGCGCGCCACCACTACAGCAGCGCGCGCAACTAGTGGACCGACTCCTGCGACCCCGAGAGGCCCGCCTCCTTCGCCCTGCTGGGCGAGCGCTGGAGCGGCATCTGATCTGACCGCCCCGCTGGTGCTTGGGGGGACTGGAGAGATGGGGGTGGAGCGTGACTTTATGCATGCCGAGCATTCCATGGCTGTGGTGCGTTCAGAAGCTCATCAGCAGAGAGATGACTGCAACACTGGCAAGCTGGTACGAAGAGCTTGGTACCCTGGTGTGGACTAAGGATCATGATGGAAATTGGTCCATGCAAAGGCACTACAAATGCTCTTGTAACATGGCTGATGTTGTCAGTCTTGTACAATACAATGACGCACTTATCTAATAGCGGTAGGAACGATTCGTTTAAAGGCCCTCAGATATCAGCGTAAAACACGCTGATTACGCTGATTTTTGATGTTATAACTAAGAATCGTAGTGGATAGGATAAGGTTGCCGCAGCTGTGCAGGCGAACCCGATGGCGGTGCTGCTCGACAGCGGTTGCTCCCACCACCTAATGGGGACGAAGGCGGTCTTCGTCGACATGGCGCTGAGCGGCAGTGTGAAGCAGTGCGTGGATTCAATGGGGCGTTGCAGCCTGTCGAGGGTCGCGGAACCGTCGATTTGCAAGGGGAGGCCGGGAAGTGGGTCCTTATCCCAAACGTGCTCTACGTTCCGGGAGTACAGGCGAACCTGCTGTCAACTGGCCAACTGAAGGAGAGCGGAGTGCAGCTGCAGGGCGTCTACGACGAGATGCTGCTTGTCGCCGCGACCGGGGAGGTGCTCGGTCGAGCACGCTACACCGGCCGAGTCCTTTGCACCGACCTTCGCCCCTGCTCGACGCGGTCGCCGTCGACCGAGGTGGTGGCTCTGCGGACGATCGTCTCGGCGACGAAGTCGACCCCCGACCGGTGGCACGCAAGGCTCGCGCACGTCGGCGTCGACACGATCAAGAGCTGGGCGAAGCATGAAGTTGCTACTGGGCTCGACATCAAGCCGTCGACCGGAGCAGACCCGCCGTGTATCTCGTGCGTCGGAGGAAAGCAGGCGCGGCACACCTTCCCCGACAATGGCTCGGACGCCGAGGAGGCACTGGCTGTCGTGCACATGGCAGCTTGTACTTCCTGATGCTGAAGGATCGCCACGCTCGGTTCGTGTGGGTGATGCCGGTCGCTAAGAAGAGCGACGTGCTCCGGGAGTTCCAGAAGTGGCTGGTGCTGGTGGAACGGCAGTCGAAAAAGTCGGTGCTGATGCTCCGCTCAGACCGGGGAGGGGAGTTCCTCGGGAAGGAGTTCACCAACTTAGTCAACGGGATGGGGATCGTCCACGACCTGACGTGCCCTTACACCCCGCAGCAGAACGGCATGGCTGAGCGGGAGATGCGCACGGTCGTCGAGTCGGTGCGGACGATGCTGCTGCACATGGGCGTGCAGCACCACTGGTGGCACCTCGCCCTACGACAAGCCGTCTGGGTGCGCAACTGCTTGGCGCGGTCGACGACGCCGCCGGTGACGACCCCGTACCAGCTGCTGACCGGGAAGAAGCCAGACCTCACGCTGGCACGGGTGTGGGGCTGCATGTTGCAGTTCATGGTCCTCGAGCAGCAGCGTGGTGGGAAGCTGGCGCCGAAGGCTCGCTGGGTGCTTCACCTGGGCGTGTCGCTGGAGAGCAAGGGCTGGGAGGTGCTGGACTTGACCGACAACAAGGTGGTCACGTCGGTCGAGGTGATCTTCTACGAGACGCTGTCACTGGAGGTGTGGAAGGCGAAGTACGGGTCGGCGTCGGGGCGGACGCAGGCACACCCGCCGACGGACACCTCGACGGCGACGTTTCCGCTGCTCGCCGAGGTCGACGAGCCTGCTGATGAGGACGTCGAGGAAGTCCTCCCTCCTACCCCTGTTATTGCCCCTCCCAACCCCGTCGCAGATCGGCCTGCGTCGACACCGGTGTCGGCCACCGGCGATGAGGGGAGACTTGAGGCGTCGCCTATGGCGCCGGCCAGTGGCATGGCCAGCGGCCTATGAGACGCCAAGCTCGTCGACGAGAGAGTGCAGCCGTCGACAACAGGGAAGCAGCAGACAGGGGAGCTGGGGCAGAAGGAGGCAGCAGGAGAAGTCCAGTCGACAGGGGAGCAGCAGACGGGGAAGTCGACAGGGGAGCTGTCGACGAAGGAGAAGTCGGCAGGAGGGCCTACGAGAGGGGAGCAGCCGGTTGAAGGGTCGAAGCAGCTGGTCGACGACGAGGTCGTCGACGAGGAAGGGGAACTGTCGGCAGGAGAAGAGTGCAACGGCAGCGACGTGATGGAGGTTCCGGTCGAGAAGCCTGAGCTGCGACTTACAGGTCGAACTCGGAAGCCGCCTAAGCGGCTGGTCTACCACGCTTGCCTGCCACCGGCTGCATTCACCATGGTGTACGACGACGCTGACGATGATCTGCTGTACGACGACGCCGAAGATGACGTCGACCTGCCGGAGCTTGACCCCGATGTGCATGCCGATCCCGAACACCGCTGGGACATCGCGACGATGACGGTGAAGGAGGCGCTGGCGAACTGGAAGGGCGAGGCAGTGAAGGCTGCCATGGATGAGGAGATCCGCAGCCTCATCGGCATGGGCACCTGGGAGCTGGTCGAACGCTCACGCGGGGTAAACATCATGAAGAACCGGTGGGTGCTGACGACCAAGTACCGCATCGACGACACCGTCGAGCGCGAGAAGGCGAGGCTGGTCGTGAAGGGCTTCACACAGGTGTACGGTGCCGACTACGACGAAACGTACTCGCCAGTGAGCAGCTACGTCACGCTGAGGATCTTCCTCAGCATCGTTGCCGTCCTCGACCTCAACCTGATGCAGCTCGACATGAAGAACACTTTCCTGCAGAGTAAGCTCGACCGGGCATGTACCAGCCGGACTACTTCAACGATGGGATCGGCCGGGTGTGCAAGCTGCTGAAGAGCCTCTATGGGCTGAAGCAGTCGCCGCTGCTGTAGTACAGAGCTCTTGACGGCGTGCTGCTGGGCGCTGGTACAGTCGCTGGTACGGTCGCTGTGGTACAGCGCCGACAAGCTGCGTAGGTGCTTCATCGACGAGGAGCAGGGCGGTCGGCTCCCGAAGAGGCCGGTCTCGGTCGACGCCTACGCCGAGCTGACATTCGACGACGAGGAGGCGCAGGAGCGCGAGGAGGAGGAGTACCGGCAGAAGGTCGGCTCGCTGCAGTTTCCGGCGACAAAGACGAGGCTGGACGTCGCCTTCGCCTGCAGCAAGCTGGGGAGCGGCCTCACGGTGAGGAGCGACCAGCACTGGCGCGAGGTCGACCGCTGCCTCGCCTACCTCGCCGACACCCGCGACACCGCCCTGGAATTCGGCGGGGGACCGGAGTCGCTGGAGCTGATCGGCTACGTGGACGCCGACGACGCCGGTGACAAGCAGAACCGGACAAGCACGGGCGGCTACGTGTTCGTCTTCGGAGGGACCTGGGTCTCCTGGTCGAGCCAGCAGACGCCGGCAAGGAGGGGCGTCGACTTCACTTCCTCCTTGCAGAATTCAAGCTGCTCGACGCTGGAAAGCCGACCATCCTCCGCGTGGACAACAAGTCGGCCATCACGGTCGCTGAGGGCTTGGGGCTGACGGGCAACCTCAAGCACATGGAGCGACGCTACGTCTGGCTGCAGCATATGGTGAGGCGCGGGAAGTTCGTGCTGAAGTACATCCCGACCACCGAGCAGCCGGCCGACTTCCTGACGAAGGCGCTGCATTTTCCGACTTTCAACCGGTGCTCTGTCGCGATCAGCCAAGTGCGCCTGGCCGACGTCGGCGATGGCGACGATAATGTGCAGCAGTAGGTGCCGTACTCTTCTGCACGGCTGGTGCGGTGACGGCGTGCTATGTGTGGGGTGCACGCCGAAGACGAATTTTCTCCGTGGAGTACTGCTGTGTGGGCTGGGGTGCCAAAGCGTGAGCGCGGCAGGGGAGTGTTAACGGGAATGGAGTGTTGGCCCCGCCCTCGCTTGGGCGACGCCGACGTCCTGGTCGGATATACGGGAGAAGCAGCCGACTATACGCAGTGAGAGAGCTGCTCGACGGGCTTCATCGAGCTGCAGGGGATCACTGTGGTGTTGCCATCGCCCAGGGATGCTCGACGGCCTTCTTCTGCGGGTGGTCGACCTGCACAGGACTGTCGCGGGGCTGGAGCCGTCGACCAGGGGAGCTCGACGGCGGCAGCTGACTGGGCTGGTCGACGGACGGACCTGACCAGGAGGAGCAGCTGACAATGCTGGTCCACGGGTGGAGCCGTCGACCAGGGTGTTCCTCAACGGGAGCTGTGGTCGACGAGGGAGGCGTCGACCAGAGCACTGGGTGGTCGACCAGGTCGACCAGGTAACCTGCTCAGCGAGTTCTGCAGAGACACGCGAACGCCGTCGAGGTCGCGGTGACGAAGGCGACTTCGGGCTGGTATCCGGAAGTCGATGTATCTCGTCAGGCGCAGTCCAGGGCCGACGGATGCACAACGGTGCAAGTCGGGCCAATCGTCTGCGCGCACCTGCGAGCGTGCGCACTGCTGCCATCTACGGGTGCAACGCTGGACAGCCGCTCTGCTGCAGAGTTGGCACGCCGTCGACCCGCTGTGTTGGCAGGTCGCCTTTCTGCAGTGCTGGCGCGGCTCCTCTACGCAACGTTGGCAGGCGTTCAATAATGCTGTGCTGGCGGTCGACTAGGCTAGCTGCAGAGTTGCTAGGTGCCTGATGTAGTCATTCTTGTCATTGTCATTGCCATCATTCTATAATGCAATCTTTGCCTAGTGAAAACTGTTGCCGATTTCTCCCGTGAATGCGCAAGTGCTAAGGAACTAATCAAAGCTACGATCACTCCTAGAGTTCGTGCCAACACCCCGCAGTCTAGCTCACGACTATTGTAGAGTGACTCTCCGCATCACTTACCCGTGTGGTTGGTACTAAGAGTAAGTTCGTTATTTACTCGTGTGGTTGGTACTAAGAGTATGTGCGTT